CACACGCACATACACACACACACACACACACACGTACGTATACACCCGCAGTTCAGAGATTGTGGATCACTTCTTGAAGCGTTTAACGGCTACCTTTGGCCGGCTTCAGCCATCGATGGTTAACAATTGACAAGGCTTTGACGAGGATAGGATGCGAACAGGTAGAAATCTCTGTAAATGATAGAGTGGATTGACACATTGATTCACGAAATGACAGTTACAGTTGCATGCAACGTCCAAGTAGCGTGAAACGCTGATGAGTATGCAATTGGCAATGCAGGAATGAAAGGAGAGTAGAAAACGACATGATCCATTGTGGAGATTGGCTTGAGCTTGATAAGAGTGGCCTTCCCAGAAAATGAAATAATCGTCAAGTGGATATCATTCTGTTTATTGCATTGTTTGTGAAGACGTTGGCCCTGGGTGTACACGCGTGCGAAATCTCTTGTGTACGGGTAGCATGTCACTGATGCTAGACTGTGATTTCGTGTTCTTGCATTCTTGTGTGATTTGTAAGCGGCGTACCACCATGCACGACAATCTCTCTCTCTCTCTCTCTCTCTCTCTCTCTCTCTCTCTCTCTCTCGCGCGCGCGCGCGCGCTCGCGCGCGCGTGTCAACGTTACGAGGCGCACATGTTGTTTGTCCTATTGAACGAAGAACGGATTGCGATACTTGAATGCGAAAGGATACTAACAAACGCCGAAATAAAAGAATAATTTGAAGAACTTCTTTCCGGAATGAAAAAACTGTGATTTCTTCCCCTCTCGAGGAAAAAAAGAGGGTGGGACTTATGAAAGGTTTTCCTCCCCCTCCCCCCATTGTTCTCTTCCGTGCGCATGTTGCCTTCGACTCCTATTTTGTTTCCCCTCCTCCTTTCCTCCCTCCTGACCGGCTCTCGCCTTGAGCACCGCGTAATCCTGTCATCCCTCTCATTTTGTATGTTTCTATTCCACACGAGGTTAAGCTCGCGTTGAATGTGTATGTGCGCGAGCGTGCCCCCGAGAGAGAGAGAGAGAGAAGGGGAGAGAGAGAGAGAGAGAGAGAGAGAGAGAGAGAGAGAGAGAGAGAGAGAGAGAGAGAGACACACACA